ATCCCTAGATTTCTAGTGGGGCATCATAGCATGATCCTATGCTTTTCAGTGTCATAACTGTCAAGCAAATGAAAGTTTGAAGGAAATTGTCTTCTTACATTTATATTCTCACGTTTCATGTTAATGCAGGCCTGCTCTACAGCTCCCTAGTGCCTGCAAACCTGTTGTAGCAGTTCGTTTCTGCCCTTTGCTCTTTAGCCTGCGGGGGTCAAATCAATGTACTCATGCTGGTTGACATTGTTATTTTGTAAAATATATTGTAGCTTTGTTGGTTATTATAGTATTTTAACAGTCTTTGGTGAATCTGCAGCCGGGTTCTTCAAGCTTCCCCATCGTATTGTTTTTGCTGTGGCCACTTTAAATTCTTTGTACATTTATGACACAGAGAGTGTTCCTCCAATTGCAATCTTTGCTGGTCTTCACTACGCAGCCATAACAGACATTGCATGGTAAAATTTGTGTTAGTTTTCTGCTATTTTTTGGTGATTATATTGATTTTGACTGCCGATAATGTTTCCTGTAAATTAAATTGCTGGTACATTTTGCTGTTCAAAAGGTCACCCAACGCCCAATACTTAGGATTGTCTTCTCAAGATGGTTACTGCACGTTGGTAGAATTTGAAAATGATGAACTGGGATCACCTATCTGTTCATCAGGTTTTATATCCTTCCATTTCCTAAATATTTCATAACTTATTTTTATCCATCATTTCTTCCACTGTTTGGTTCATCATGGTTCCTGTTTCATTTTGCTCCAGTGGAAAAGAAAGTCATGCATGACAAGAACAAAAGCCCAGTTCAGAAGGCAGAGAACATGGTGATTGAAGCTACTAAAAATGATAGTCTTGTCGCTGAAGATAATGGAAGAACTGTAGAAGAAAGGAATCAACAAACAGAAGCTGAAAGGAAAGAAGAGAAAGTCATGGGTGAACAGAATAAAAGGCCAGCTGAGAAGGCAGAGGACATGGTAATTGAATCTACTGCAACTGACAGTCGTGTTGCAGCAGATAATGGAAATTCTGAAGCAGAAGGGAATCGAAAAACAGAAGTAGAAATGAAAGCAAAAGAAGTCGTTGATTTAGAGAACAGAAGTCCAGTTGAGAACCCTGAGGACATGGTAGTTGAAGTTACTGCAAATGGTAGTCTTGTTGCAGCATATGATGCAAAATCAGAAGCAGAAAGGAATGAAGGGATAACAGAATCTCAAAGCTCAATGAAGACTGCTACTGTAAATAGGCCTCCTACCAAAAGGCGTATTACACCTATGGCAATCGACCCGTGATAGCCGCCATTCTCACCTCTGTAAATTTTGTAATCAATTTAATCTCACTTGCTGGGTGCTGATTTCTCTGCCCTTTTCAATTATAGGATTCAGTGTACTAAATTACTGATGCTAGAAAGACCACCCTTCCCTTCCCTGGGAAGTATAATTTCTGTTATTTCACTTTTGATCCTATATGGATGTTGTAGAACCCAAATCGAATTGGAAGCCTATTGACTATTGACTAGAAAATTTCAAATTTCAATCTTATATGAATCTTGGCTAGTAAATATGTATCCCATATAAATCTAGGCAATTGATTCATATCCAGATGATTCTTGTGGGTTTCATTTGTCTCAGAAAGTGTAGCACACCAATGGAAAATGCCTTGTGTGTGTGTGTGTGACCCAAGGATACCTGTTTACTTTTGATGGGTAATCTCTGGTTGTTAAACTCTGTATGAAAATTTAACCAGTACAATCCAGTCTACCGCAAGGAGCAAGAATGTACCGTTTATGTGGCAGGGGTGTGTGCATTTGCCCCTTAATAAAAAATAATAATAGATAATGCCTATTGAGAATGTCCGCCCCATTCTTTCTCCTCCCACATTTGGTTTTGTTCAATTTTAACAGAAGTTACAAGTTACTAAGCAAACCAAACCAAACTAAACTAAACCAATAATGGACAGTTTGGTTCGGTTGGTTAGGGTGAGTTGTGCCTATGCCATATCATTTTTTCTTTTGAATTTTGTTAACCCAATTATAACAACAAAATTATATAACCCGGATTCTTTGCCTTGAATTTAACAGTGTTCTCAAGTTCAAATCTCCATGACACCTTGGCAATGTGTGAGAATCTCCCTCCTCTTATATAACTTTGACAACAACAAAAAATCATTCTAAAATTGAATTTAACACGCCATCAAACTTCAAAGTTCAATAACAACAAAAAATTTCATAACCTACTAATTTTTTCATTTTCCAGCACATCGAACATACTAAAATTGAATTCAACATGTCATCAAGTTTCAAAACTCAATAACTAATATAGTAACAAACCAGAGATCACTAACTTCGAAGTTCTATCAAACTAAATTCAAAGTTCCATCAAACCGAGTTTGTTACCAAGTCTCTTCGTTACATTGCAATTAAATTTGCTAGAATTATAAATATCATCATCATGAAAGAAACACAGCTAGCTAAAATGACCATTCGCACATACCTGCGTCTTTTTGGTTCACATATACACATGATCATACATACACAAAATTACATCTAGGGTTCGTTTGGTGACTAGTATTGAATTGAAATGGATTTAAAGCATGTTTAAGAAAGAAATGAAATTTTTCTGATCAAGTTGAAGGTAGAAGATGGATTACTCATCTCATATAATCCCCACAAATATGATAGGGTAGCAACACCTTATAACTAATCCCTCCTAATCCTCCCAAATGGAAATTCCACTACCTTCATTTCCTCCTTCAATCAACCTTAAGATTTAGTGACTTATCAAATCAAATCCAATTCTAGGCACCAAATGAGCCCTTAATATTTTATTTTTAAGACCTTTCTTATTGAGAGAGGCGATCATATACTAAACTCACACACACAACAAGGATACTATGACTCGAACCCAAAACCTTTCCTGAGAGAAACAATTGCTCTAAACCACTACATTTAATGAGCCCCTAGTTTTAAATCAAAACAAAACTAGCACATTAGTGAAACACAACTAGTTAAAAATGCTACGCTCAGACTATAATGAGGGGTAAGTTATAAGGGGTAAGTTATAAGGGGTTCACTTTATAGTCATTGGATCAATCCAAGGGCTGGGGAGAATTGGGATAAAGTTGTGCAATCAGGTAGGTGAGGAACCCAAACCCGAATTTAATAT